TCTAAGTATTTTAATATATTAATATGTACTAATTGTTGACTGCATTGTTTCCTCCATAAGCAAAGTAGATACCCCCAAAACGGGGCTTTAAGCAACCTGATCTAGTGGACGGTATCCCTCCCCATGGCAGGGGGTTGGGACTAAATGATCTTTAAGGGCTCTTCCCACCCAAACCATTCTATGAGTCTATGATTGAAAAAAAAATAAACGAAGGAACCTTCCAATACAAGCACGGAGCAGTTCCATGCCTGAGGATGTTGGAGGATAGGTATCTAAATATCAATTGCAAAGTTACATATCAGGTGTCTGTAAAAAAAAATTAGTTCCTTAAATATGTCCCCCAGAAGAAAGAAGGGGGTTGTTAGATTCAAGGCTATTGAGTATTACCGTGGACTGTTCTAATTGGTGTGTTTCAGGGTCTTTTGTGGAAAAACAGATCACGTGTCGAATGTTGTCTCCCTGCTGCCAGGCTGTGGGTGTAAGTGCCCCCTGTAGATGGGGTGAGAACTGGTGAGCTGGGCTGTGTGTCCTGCCGTGCTGCAGGGAAAGTCTCCTGCTCTGCTGGAGAAACAAACAAGTTACTGCACGTGTCCTAGCTCTGGGTGGCCGTTTGGCATGCCTGCACTCCTAGTGTCTACTCTCTTTATTTTTTGACAATGCTCTTGTGTTTAAGGTATTTTGCTATTTAGTCTAGGTTTCTGAGTGCCTTTGATGCCTGAAGATTACAATACACAAATTTCTCAGTGTTGGAAACTCCCAGTGTGATTCATTTTATTTTCTTTAAATCCTGAAAAGTGCTTGTTCCAGGTAGAAAGCTAGGGCAAGGTCAGCGTCTTTGAAACACACAGATTTATTTTTTACAGGTGAATTCTTTATTTAATCTAGTAGGATATTCCTATCCAGACAGTCAAGCTTGTGATTCTTTAAAAACAAATAAATCACACGAACGTGGTGAGCAGTGCTTGGCATACTGAATGGGCAGAGGCCTCCTGCATTTATAGCTTTCCTTTCCTGCCTTGTCGAAGGAGATTAGCTTGCAGACTATGCAATGTTGTGGCCTTCAGAAACATGAGCTATAAAGTTCACCAGAGGGAGAATCGGTCCTTGTTGTCTCTCCCCACATTGTTTTCCACTTCCCCCAGCTATCATATTTTAAGCCCCATGCCTTGGTCCAGCCCACACACAATTTGTGTAACCAGCTTAGTCAGGGATGTGATTTCCCTTCTTACTTCTGCCTCTTATACTTAGTTTATGGAAGTAATGCCTGCTTTGTGGGAGTCACTGCAATAAAATCGTTCCTCTCCTTGTGCAGAGGGACTAGCTGTAGAATCAGAGTGTTGGAGTAGTTGCATCTTCCACAGCGTGGCTGACTGCTTTAAGTACACGGGTCTAATCAGAGCAGTTTGTCTCCTCTGTTTTGACATGGCCGTGTTGAAGTGTCTTGATGGTTCTCACCAATGTCCCTGAAAGGGATGGCTTGGGAGCGCGACCATGCAGGTTCAAAAACCTGCCGTCAGCACTGTCCCAGGGCGTCGGAGATACTTACTGCATCTGGGTGCTCCTCCTTCGATGTGACCAGCGGCCGGTGGTGCTGTTACTTGCAGCAGCATCTAGCTGCAGTTGAAACACCCGTTCAGATTTAAAAAAATACAAATAAATATCTTCCATACTTTGGCAAGCTGCATTGCTGTTATTGTCTTTTAACACCATGAATGTCAATAGTTAACTTTTGGTATATGATACATAATTACGAAGCAAGGGGGAGTGACCTCAGTCTGCATTGGCTTTTATTTTATTTGAGATCATGAAGAGTGCCATTCTGTTTATGATTCAGCAGTAAAAGACTTCACTGAAACTGTGCACACTGTTTTAAGTTACACTGCGGACTCTGAACTGCTGCAGAACACTTCTGCCTTCAGGCACCATGATGTGGAGATCTTTCAAGCGACTGTTTTTGGGGTAGAGGAGAGGGTTTATAGTAAGTTGCATGAAGTACTTCAGAAACACTGCATTTTTTTTTTCTTTCTTTCCTTCCCCTTCCCGTTTTTCCTGGATTTATTTACACCACGCTAGACAAAAAGTTAAACTATGGGCAATACCTTAATACCCTTGGCAATGTTTATGCTTTCTATAAGGATGGCTCCGTCTTTTAAATAGAAATCAGTAAACGAGGGGTTTTTCTTCAGAAGGACGCCTCTGCTGTCAGATCACACAGAAGCAGATCACCATGACAGGCTGGGTACTGCCTTTGACCAGATAAATCTTGCATCCTAACCTTTCTAAAGCAAGCTCCCTGTGTCTGTGCTGCAGGTGCGGCTGTGGAGGCACGCCGGAACGTGGAGGGGCCGGGAAGGAGCACCTTACAGCACGCTGGTGCCATCTGACGGTAAGCTTGCCCAGCAGGTTTTCTCCCTTCCCATCAATGTCAACAAGCTTTTCATTTATTTTGAGGGAGTAGGGTGAGATGACATTAGTTGCATGGTTTTTATATATATATATATATCCCAGAAATAGAAGTACTATTTCATTAAAGAGATCTAGAATGTTTTGTGTGGTTTTCTTTATTCATCCTGTGGTTTAAAAACAGCTCTTAAATTAAACTACAACTTACGATATGACTTTTTCACTTACTTTTCTTTCCCCTCCCCCCAGAAGTAACTATTAATTACAGACATGGTCTTCCTGTGATAACTCTTACGCTGCCCACAAGAAGTGAACGCTGTCGGTTCACTGTTAAGCCAACGGTGACCACCGTAGGGGCAGTCCTGCAGGATGTGCAGAGAGAAGATAAAGGAATTGAGAGGGCAGAAGTCTTTGCAACAGGTATCGTACATTTCTGTCATTCCTCAAAATGAATACATTCCTTTTCAAATGGACTGTACTTCTCCCCTGAAGCACGAGTTCAGTCCTCCATCAGGTTTAGCGTGGTTGCTGTTGGGGTAGTTCTGGAATGCTTCTGGGGTTTATTGGTGTTTCAGATTTAATATCTGAGTCCTCTTGGAAAGGCTGATTAAAAATACAAAATTGGACATATTACTATAACCTTCCCTATATCCCAGTGGTGTCCTCTATTATCTTTTTCAGGTAGCTTCTCTTTGTAACGCTGTCTTTAAATAAGTGTCTCTCTTCTGGTTTCCTTGGTACCTTTTTCTTTCCTTGTCCTCCATGATCATTCTTAAAGACAGCTAGTTGGGCTCTTGAGTGTGATGTCTGCCAGTTGTTCAGTGTTACCCGGAGCTGGCAGAATCTGTTTGCCTTACTACAAACTTGAACTCAATATGGAAAACTTACGAAGAGCTAAGCAACCAGATAATGTGTGCAATGATAAAGGGCAGCTTTTTGAGACTTTGGGGAGGTTTCATTCATCAGCTGGAGTACAGTACTTCAGGGCCCTTGGGTTGAAAAGGAAAAGCTATACTGATATGTTAGCACTGATGTGGTCTTTCCTCCTTGTAGCAAACTGTTTATCCCATTGTCCCAAGTCTTCACATAATTTTCTCAAGCTCTGCTTTTTTCATGTGTTTTGTCTCTTTGGTCTGCCTGTTGATAAAAGCTAACATCCAGTTAGTTAAACTGGTTTTTCATTTTATTTCCAAGACAACTTGGTTTGTATTTTGGCAGTGCTTTGTCGTTTTTCCACAATTCTGAAAAGCCTTGCAACCCCTCTCCTGGTCCTAGAAAAGGACTCAATCTGAAAAGTAGAACTGAGATGTAGCTTTCTTGTCTGAATCTGGTAGAACAGGTGTTTCAATTTGTCTAACTAAAAGCATCTATTTCTTCCCTTCCCCTCTCATGCCCCTAAAAAGAAAGGAAGGAAAAAAAAGAAAAAAGGATAGCTACATCCCTGTAGAAAGATTTATTTTCCATCAGGGAACATATAAACAGAAGGAAGGATGGGGTCCAGGAAAGTTGGTCCAAAATGTTCATAACTGGGTGCATTCGTAATATTCCCTTTCCTCCTTGTTGATGATATTGCAGAGGCCTGCAGGGACTTTTCAAGGAACTGAAAATAGATTGATGCTCCTAGAAGATCAGGAAGCCACAGATCTAGGAGAAGCTGCCTTAGTTGCCTTTGAAAGCACATTTAGTAAAATACACCATAGAGCAATATATTTGTATCCTCTAGAGCAGTGGAGATGTGATCTCTGTGGGTCCCAGTGTGTGAATGAGTTTCGTGTACACAGGAACTTTGGGGTGGTTGTTTTCTGCTAGGCAGCAAAGGCACAAAAGTCTCTTGAAAAAGATAATTTCATAAGAAACTCTTGTATCTTCAGAAGCCACTGTAACAAATGGTCATTGTCAGCAGCTTGCCTTCCCCTTAACATGGAAGTTTTCACTGAAAAGGATTTCTTACTGGGGTGAGGCAGGGCTAGCCCAGAACACGCGCCAGCAAATAGTTAACCTCTGAGCACGGCTATCTGTGCAGAGACATCCATGGCAGAGGGATTTGTGATTCGCTGCTGAATCCCATTCTTCTGTGGTATGTCAGCAAAAGCTAACTACTCATTCTGCTTCAGTGCAAATATCGGTCACTTGTGAAGCATAAGATAATTTCTGTAAGAAACCTACAAGTCTGGCATTTTCGGCATGGACGAGCAGCAGGTTCCAAAGTGGAAAGGAATTTGGGCTGTTTTCACCTCGCCTCATCCTTTTAACACCCCCTGCTTCGCACCCCCTCCTCCCCCCCCAGCTCCGACTTTGAAATAAAAACATTGTCCGCTTTGATTAAAGTAATGACTGAAACAATTCTCGGCTCTGTATTTTTCAAGTGCTGGGCAATTGTAATGTTAGAGAACAGCTTAGATGTTTAATTTATTAGGAAACTGGTACTGTAAAGAGAAACTATTGGTCAAGTACCGAGAGTTGAATTTAAACATTTATTATTAAAGAAAAATTATGAAGCCTTGATTTAGTGCAGACACTTCTGTGTTATTTAGCCATTAAATGAAACCCAGCCTTAATTGAAAGCATTAGTGCTGTGTATGATGACTCACTTTCATTTTCTGTGGATTTGATTTTGATCCTGCAAAACTTCTGTAGACAAAAAATGGACCTTGGTCCACATTTGAACACTTGTGCTTAGGCACAGGAAGGAAAGCAACCTTTCCCTGAAAGCCTGTGGGGCATTTTCTAAAATAAAACACTTCCCTTCCCCCAAACTTTTCTGCTTCTCAGTTAATGAAAGGTTGGACAGGTTAATAAATCGGTGTTGTATCACATCCAGAGCAAAGAGCCTGTCTGGCACTTCTTTTGAAAAGCATTTTTTGCTTAAATGTCACTGTATAAATGTCACCTTAATAATTTACATGCAAAAAAGCTTTGATGCTCTATTACACAGTAAAAAAAAAAAAAATAAAATAAATTAAAAAAAAAGAGTGGATGGGCATATTTCATATTTTGGATTGAAAGTGGTAGTCTTCCAGGTTTGCTTTGCTACCCACACCGAGTGGGTTGGGGAGCCAGCTGGTGTGTTAGCTCATGGAGTTCAGCAGATGGGGCCCGAGAACAGAGTTCCAGTGAATAAATAGTTGCAGGTGTGGGGTTATCTATGGTGCCTTTATGTAGTGGGCATGTGGAGACAGATGGAGGAGCTGGGGCAGTAGCACTGTAACAAATATTTACATACAAAACATACATAAAAAAATCTTCATATTTTGTAGCCTGATCATTATCCATCTCAGGAGTAAAGCTGCTGTTTTCTACCACTGCCCACCTGTTGGCCAGGCAGGGAAAGACTCCCTTTTTATGTATAGGAAATGAAGACCAGGTCAAACAGCTACTGTGGAGCAGCTGCTCTGTGGCTTTTGAACCCAGCAATGTGTCCAGCAGCAATGGTGTGCAGCTCCGGGGGTTCCTGGGCCACCTCAACCTGCTGTGGGGGCTGGTTTTACTAGGTGGCTCTGAGATCTGCTGGACTTGGGCCAGTGAGAGCTCCGGGAATCCACCATTACATGTTGCTGCTAATGACTCCGGGAGCTCTTTTTCGGTGTCTTCAGCTCCCTGTGGGATGTGATGTGTTCCTTTGCATCTTAGCTGCGGTGAGGTGCGGTGGACAGTGAAATGAAGAGGAGATATGAAAGCTGGCAGGCGGGAAGACTAGTAATATACTAAAGAAAAGAGGTTATTTACAAACTTCAGGCCCCTTTAAACAGGCAAACAAAAAGCAGAGATTGGAAAAAACAGATCTTTTACATTTCAGCAGAGGTTTTAGATTACATCTGCCTTTGTGTATTGAATGTAAAATAGGAAGGGATCCATTTCTCATTTGGATGCAGCTATTTTTCCTGTTGTTCAAGAAATCGGAAATGTTGCCAGAGTACTAATCTTGCAAGATCTGCTGTGCTGAGACTGCCCTGGGAAAGGCTGCAGTATGTCCATGCTGTTGCATGAGAGTCTTCTCATATATTGAAGTTGTGGTCCATCTACCAGTAGCAAATCTTTTCTAAGCCCTAGATAGACACAGATACTGCCTTTTGGGTGAAAGGGCCTTTGGCAAAGAAAAATAGCAGAGAGAGAATGAAAAGAAGGAACAAATATAAAAGCAGGATAAAATCTTCAACAACCAGCTTTCCTGATTGAATGTCACAGTTGCCCCCGTCTCTGATTTTGAGTCATTGAAAATAGATGGGTTTTTTTTCTCAGCCTGTTCTCTGTCTTGCTGATGGGGTGGCATTCATGTAAATTTTTGCATAAAAAAGAAAAGTAGAAAAGGGTTCTCCAGAGCTTTTTAGACTAATGCGTCTGTGGCTCCTGGTCTGCCTCGTACTGGACAGTCTAGCTACCTACTTCTTAACTCCCAGTCACAACTGATACTGAAACAGAGTGGCTGCAAGTACCATTAATAAAAATCTGAACAGCACTACTGACAAGAATTGCTCCTTTTGGCTAGAAGAGCTTGTTTAAAGAGAGACATAAATCTATAACTGAAGATGAGGTCTTTGAGAGTCTTTTAATTTCCCAAAACCCTTTGTCCTAGTTAAGATGCAAACTTGTGTGTGGATGGAGAAACAAAAATGCAAATCTTTATGTTGCCATTTGTTGCTGTTTTATGCAAGACTTTTTTCTTCTGCCCTCTCCTTCCCAATGGGTCAATACTAGTCATAACTGTAACACAAGAAAATGCAAGTCTGCTCATAGTAGTGGCAAGTCCGAATGAGACTGCTAGAGAAAGCATTCAGGCACACACTCTGCGTTGATATGTTGCTCCTTACTTTTTAGTATCAGTTACCAGATTTTCTAGAAGTACAGTTCCCTTCCAAACATTATTAATAAAGAATTCTAGCACTTTTCCAAAGAGATATCAGCTAATGTTTAAGATTCCTTATGATAAATGACTTAGAACTTAAATCTTTCTTCTGCAGATGGTAGCAAGGTCTCTGATGCAACCTTGATGGAGGTCTTATTGATGAATGACTTTAAACTTGTTATCAACAACACGGCATACAGTGTGTCACCTCCTATAAAAGGTAAGAGCGATGCTTAATAACTCTGATATCTCACTTCATCTAGTGAAAGGCATGGGAAGTCTCAGAAAACTCGAACCTGTCTGGAGAAAGGAATTTCTGGGGTTTTTTTACCATTGGATGGTCCTGCTTTTTAGGGTTGGAGGTGGGCAGAGAATGAGGAGGGGTAGGTTCTTGGAATGTTTTATGAGAAAAACATTTTATTTTCAGATAAGCTGAGTAGTGAGCATGCTACTGAAATGGAAGATATCAAATCCTTGGTTCACAGACTGTTTGTGGCTCTACATTTAGAAGATCACCAGATCAGGAAAGAGAGAGAATTGCTGCAGAAGCTGGACCATCTGAAAGAAGAGCTGCTGCCTCTTGAACAGGTTGGAAAGTGGGATTGTTTTTTTTTTTTTTAAAACTCAAAAGCATTTCCTTTCTTCAAGAGTAAGTCCTGTGATAGAAAAAAATCAGCATGAATGGCTAAGGTGTGTCTGTTTTGTTTGTTACGCAAACGAGGGTCAATTCAAATAGAATTCAAATTATTTTCAATTCAGTTCTTTTGCCTCCTGTTACACACATGCGCTGGGTAGGAACCACAACACCTGGAGAAAGCTGTCATGAACAAGCCTCAGCATGGCTAGTATTGGGATTGAAAGTCCTCTTAGTCACCTGTTGCTCTATGAGTTCTCAATACCCATTATAGAAAAAACAATAGTGAGGTAGAAATCATCTGTGGCTATAGGCTAGGGTTTTCTATATCACCAAGGCAGCAAGGCAAATTGTTTGGACTAATGGTTGCTGTAGTCCAAGAAGGGAAAGTATGAATGTTGACCTAGGGCAGGCTAAGCTAACCCAGCATGAGGGGAGGAAGCCAAAAAGAGCCTGACAAAGCGGACAAACTTTTCCTTGGCCTCACACGTGCTTTGGGAGGACCAGCCTCAGCGTTAACCAGAGCTGCCTTGAATGGTAAATGGAAATCCAGTAGACATAAATCCCTTGTAGTGGGAAGGGGAGATTAAAAGCAGCATTTCTTGGTGTACAACAGCCAGGAGTTCTGGTTGCCCTTGGATTTCAGTCCTTTTCTTTTTTGGCAAGGTAAGTCGGTAAGAGGAGTCAGTAAAAGATCCTGAAAAAGGATCTAGCCCAGCAGGAGAAAACATAGTTGAGGAGCCGCTCATCAGTTGCACTCATGTTTGCTTGAACAGGTTTCTATATTTATTTTCCTTAGATGAAAGCCAGAATCACGGACAGTGCAGATGCAAAGACCTCCAGGCTTCTATGGGTTGGCTTAGCTCTGATGTCAACACAAGGAGGAGCGCTGGCATGGCTCACGTGGTGGGTCTATTCGTGGGACATCATGGAGCCAGTCACATACTTCATCACTTATGGGAGTGCCATGGCTTTCTATGCCTACTTTGTTATTACTAAACAGGTAAGTCCTTGTTTTGTAAACATGTGGAGTATTGTAAAGGAGGAAGGCTGACTCTGAAAATCACGTTTGGACTCTGATGAAAATATAATTCAGTAAGTAGCCTTGCCATCAGGCAGGGACTTATTTCATCCTTATTGGGGCTGGATACGAACATTATATTATGTGAAGTCAAGCCAAGTACTGTTACACATGAACTGCAGACCAGCTGCTGAGCAGAACTGCTATCTGTAAGATTTCATCATCTAGGGAATGAAAAGTGGTGAAAGAAGTCTCTCCTTTTATTTTAAATTTTCGTAGATCACTTTGAATAGTAAACAGCACCTTGCTCATTGCTGTAAAGGGAGAGCAACTATTAGTGCTGTGCCAGTTTGTGAACGCTGCCTTACAGCAGGCCAGGAAGTGAATCACTGAACAGTAGCTTTTATTCGCTGGAGTTTACATGTAAAACGGTGCAGGGTGCCAAACGGTTTGGAAATCTGGCAGTTGCTTTATTGAAATATACCTAATTTAATGCCTGAAAAAATGTTACTGCTTTTTTCTTAATAATCTGACTGCTTTTCCTTGACTGTGAATGAATGGAGGTAAATCTAGGACAGCTGAAATGGGGCAGGAAACAGCCTTTGTTTAGAAGAAAAAATTTTGCTGAGTAACAAAAACCCAGATCTTTACTGAGCTGCACAACCAGATTTATCCTGTAAGGCTTCGAGGAATGTTTCTTTTTCCTGTTTTAGCTCTGTACTTTACTCCCAAAGTGGACATCTCAATGTTGAACTTTCTGTGATGTAAAACTCTTTTTGTTATGGAGGTATGTGGAAGAGTAGCCAACACTTCCTTCCATAATACCAGTGGATCTATAGACCTCGTGAGACATCAGGTTCCTTTAGTGAAAAGGGGAGATGTGTCTGTTTTTATGAACAGCTGGCTCTGAATGTGAGTTTTACACCTCCTCGCTGATTTTTAAGAAGGGCTAAGGCATTCCTACTTTTTGCATATGAGTAAATAAAGAGATTATTACTTGGCTTTTTTGAACAGCTGCTGGCACCATTGCTTGAGACTTTCAAATAAGTCTTTGAGAAATAGTAGTTGAACTTTCTCTGACTCCTTGGAAGTAGTGTCCATTGACTTAGGCGACTCCAGTCATGAAGATCACACTATGTGTTTATGACTGAAAATTCCTTTAGGTGTGATAGAAATTATTCCTACCATGTGTTAAAAGGCCCTTATGACCTGTAAGGCCATAACTTCATATGTAGCCTCTTAACAGAACACGTGTATGTGATGAACTAGACAAATCTTCCTGAAAGGCTGAGTTTCTACTGAAAACTCATTTGTGCAGATTATCTTCTGAACTCTACCCAGTTTTCTTGCTAACCCTAAATATGTGCCCTGCTCTTTCTTCACCAGGACTACATTTACCCTGACGCTAAAAACAGGCAGTTCCTCCACTACTTCTATCGGAAATCCAAAAAACAGCATTTTAATGTGGAACGATATAACAAGCTCAAAGAAGACCTAGCAGAGGTATTTAAATACAGTTCTTAATTAATGAGGTAGCCTCTGCGTTAAGACTTTTTCAGTAAAGTCTCAGCTAACAGAAAATTGACCTCAAGGTTTGTTACTTACATTCAAAACAGTGTATTGCTTGTCAGCCAGTCTGAGCTGCTTAAATAACCATACAATGTTTGCCATTGATGTATAAACTACTTCAATAAGTCATCAGAAAGGGAGAACTTCATTAATTTAATTTAAAACAAATAAGTCAGTTTATCAGCCCTATACATCCATTTTTTGCATACTCGAATTGCATTTTCGGCCATTTTAATAGAATAGCTGTATTGCTTTTGCAGACTGTGTGTTCGCTGCACTGCTGTGGTAACAGAGTCTTCTCCCTTTCTTGGAAGGAAACTGTCTTGCAGAGTTCAGCATTTGACAGTTTAATCCTATTCCACAGGTGAAAGGCTTAGATTCCCATCCAGTCACCCTTATTCTGTAAAAGGTGGTGGTGTGTGTGTCTGGGAGAAACTTTGTAATCTTCATGAAAAAATGTAGCAGATCCCACTCCTCAATTCTTACTCCCCCATTCCATCTCCCCAGCCTTGTGTTCAATGTCTTGTAAAAGAAAATTGAAACTATCCCTAATTTTAGTTCAAGACCCGTGGTTCAGGGTATCATTTCATGAGCCACATTTGGCATAAGGCTAGAGTTTGATGCTTTTTCAGTAGCCTTTGAGTATGAATTTTGTAATTGTAATTTCAGGAAAATAGTCCTCTGGGGTGTGGATAGGCAGGTGGACGGGCAGGGCACATGCTTCTGTCTGGAGACTGGCTGAATGACCTGAGCAGGTCTGTAAATGTTCAGCATCCTCCACTTGAGCAGTTTGGTTTCTTGCGTAAGAGCAATGCCTTCTGAGAAAGGAAAGATACTGGATGTGTGAAAGAGGAGGAGAAAACAGAGGGCTGCGGAAGGATGAACTCTCACTCTTTCTTGCACTGGCAGGCAGAAGAATCCCTGAGGCGTCTGCGCCAACCTCTGCGCCTGAGGCTGCCAATCCAGGAAATCAATGACAAGGACTGACTTCGGTTTTGTATATATTACAATTGCCCTTTCAAAGCTGATACAAACATTTAGTTACTCTATAGAAACTGGATATTTTTGACCACTATAGTTTTGAAAGTTGCAATAAATATCTATAAAAATGATTCGGTCACTTGACATTTTGGGTTTTTGTTGGGTTTGGTTTTTTTTTTTTTTTTTTTAAATACTATAAAGAAGCTGCTAAAGCAAAGTTCTTCAAGATGTTTGTCAAATCTCATTAGTAAATGGAGGCATTCTGCCTGCTGGTAAAACGACGGGGACATTTTATAGAACAAGGGCTGTCTTTTTAGGATTATTTACTAGAGCATAGCAATAGCTCATAGAATAATTTTCTGCCTTGAGTACTAAGGATTTTTTTTCCTGAAATTACTGTTTTCCTTTCCCTAGCTCTGTGCTTTGACTCTGATACAACATCATTGGTGGAGGTTAGACTTGCATTACAAGTAAGCTTTTTTAGTAAATGTTGCTGAGAAAGTAAGATATGTCAAACTCATTTACTATAAAATCATTTGTTTCACTGTTGCATTTTATTGAAAGAATTTATCAAAACATTCAAATTTATACATTCATGATTTATACAAAGCTTAAAAGTAGCCATAGTAAGATTTAATATCTGTGACTCAGAACATATGGAAAGATTTAACTAAAGCAGAGCCAGTAAATCAATTCTTTTATACCCAGGAAAGTGGATTAAGACACTTTTCTCAGCTTGAGTCCTCCATTGTCCCCCAGAGTTAAGCATATGTACCAATAATGTAAAAAATAATAAAAGAAATATTTACTTCTAATATAATTGAAATTACTGATGCTGCAGTAGTAACAATCCTATGGTAAAACATCCTGTGGTGACCAATGCACTATCACTTTTATACACACCATGACAGTGTATGGCTGATCTCCTCTGTGGCCAAGGGGAGGAAGAGGCTGATCCAACACCAAGGCCTGAAGTACGAAGGTTTGCACGTGTTGTATTTTGCAGAGCTGCCTAGAGATGTCCAGCAGTTGTAAGTGAGCCTGGAACCTTGCAATGATTTGCTTTAGCTTTAGAGATGTGTACAAGGTGAGCTTACCCAGTCATGCTAAGCAAGCTGTATGTGGTCTCATTTCACTACTGCTTGCTTTTCTCTTGAGGATGCAGAGCACCAGCAAGCTTTAATTGTGCCCCAAACGTAAATGATGTGCAAGCAAAAAGAAGCCCTTTATCTGTATTAATGCTACAATTGTACTCAAGGAATTAAATTCCTTTTTAGTGTTGAGAGAAAATACAAAAAATGTCTAAAAAGCTGTAAATCCACAAAAATTGGAAAGTGGATACTGCTGTCCACAGATTTAAAAAGATGCCCTGCAAACATATTCCCTGTAAACCGTGCTCTTGGAGCAAGAAAAGCTAATCTAACATTTGAAATGTTTTGGAAATAGTAAAATGTGCCATAGTCAGACGGCAATCAAGCAAAAAACTTTCAAGAAAAAAGTAATGTAAGAGTACCAACTTAAATGAAATCTGAGCACCTCTTAATAGTTTTGCACCAGTCAACGTTTCCCAAATTCCCTGAGGTAAACAGAGCTGTAATACTAGCTTTAAAATTGCTTTAAGATTTTAGAAACTGTTATATGTACAAACTGTAATATTTGAATATTTGATCCCAGTGTTTTTGCAAACAATCTTGTAGAATATTAGTCTCCTGAACTAAGATGGTGTGTTTTTCACTTCTGCAATGAGTATTAGTTAATGGTCGTCATTGTTAAATAACAATCTACTTAGATTTTGGATGAAAATACAATTTTTTAGTTAACATTGAGGCAAAACAGGGAATCTGTTTTTTTCCTATAGCATTAATGTCTCTGCACACATCCACTTTGCGATGAGATACTTTCCTGTTAACGACAGTAAGAAGTTCTGTGAACTCCAAGGAAGAGCCATGCTTCCTAAGTGCCTCGCACAAATCTTGAATGTACCAGGAGCCATTTACAGTTTCACGATGAGAAAAGTAACCTATTGTAGAACAGGAATATAAAATTATATCCAAATGTAAGTAGTAATGCCATTTGAAAAATATTCATGAGAGTTACTGCTTGCTAGCTGCATCTGTAAGGGATTACTAATGGGTGTAAATTTTACTTCACCAATTATGTAATTTCACTGGAAATTGTAGATGGGAAATGGCTTTGAGATCACTTACAGTGCTCAGCCAAGAGGAGCTGGTTCAGGGACACTGGTAGCTTACAGGACTGTATCTGCACATTACAAGAGAGCAGATGGGACTGAGGACAAGATACATGGAGGACTGGAGAGGACAGCCACATAGTGCAAGGAAATTTATAAGCTACCAGAATCCTACAATCCTGAATCCTGGAAAAGAGGGGAATGCTTGTTGTCAGCAGACAGCTCAGCAGCAAGATTATGATGAGAATGTTTCTGCTTGGCAAATTAACTGCAACCTTGATGGTTTATTTTCACTTTTTCCTTAACATGTGAGGCTGTTTCCCAGACGAGATGTCACTTATCAGACATGCAAAACAGATGTCCTAGAACTGTACTTCTTATTTTGACTGCAAAATGAAGAAGTGTTCAAGCTTGTTACAGTGAAGTATCAGACATCAGATGTAAAATATTAGAACTTACCTTGCGCCACAGAGTAGCACATGATAAAATCTGCACCCGCAGGCAGGGTATAGACACCAGCTGCATCCACTTCAGTCTCATTGACAATGCATTTATCGCTACTGTCTGTTGAATCTTGAACAGTAACTGGATCGTCATGTTTATCACCTCGACATGCCTGTTGGTAAGAAGTATTATTATGTTTTCACCTCTGCCAAGCTCACCTATGTTAATATGATACTTCTGACACTACCCAGAGGGGACTTCTGCTCAGTTAGGTGTTCCACACTACCATGAGTCTGGATTCATAAAGACCCATTTACTTCTCTGTCAATTAAAATATTGGTGACAAAGTCCAGCGAAAGCTCTGAGATGATCATGGAATTGCTGAGATTGGAAGGGACCTCTTGAGATCACCTAGTCCAACCCCCCTCGCTCAAGCAGAGTTAGCTAGAGTTGTACAGGCCTATGTCCAGTCAGCTTTCGAGTATCTTCATGGATGGAGACTCCACAACCTCTCTGGGCGACCTCTTCCAGTGTTTGACCACCCTCACAGTAAAAAAGTGTTTTCCTGTGTTGAGATGGAATTTCATGTGTCTTAATTTGTGCCAGTTGCCTCTTGTCCTGTCACTGGGCACCACTGAAAAGAGCCTGGCTCCCTCTGCTTTATTGTCTCCCCCCAGGTGTTTATAACATTGGTAAGATTCCCTTAAGCCATCTCCTCCAAGCTGAACAGTCCCAGCTCTCTCAGCTTCTCCTCATATGAGAGATGCTCCAGTCCGTTAATCATCTTTGCGGCCCTTTGCAGGACTCGCTCCACTAAGTCCATATCGTTCTTGTACTGGGGAACCCAGAACTGGACACGGTGTTTCAGATGCAGCCTCACCAGTGCTGAGAAGAGAGGAAAAATCACCTCCCTCGGACCTGTTGGCGAGGCAGCGTTGAATAAATGCTCTGAAGCACTGCCATCATTATACGCTGTTACACTTCCGACTGAACTGAGTTCAGTCTCAAATGTGTTAGTTGAGGGAAGGTTTTTTTTGTGAGAAGCCAGTAAGTGAGCCCAGTATTGTCAGTGTTGCAAAAAGGCTATACATGGAGGATAAGAAGGTAAGAACATGTTCAAAAGATACAAAGTAGGTAAGGAGCATTACTTAAGAACTATCACTAAAGAGAGAAACATGAAAATCTTCTTTCATTTACAGTGATGAAGTTCCATCCTTGGTGTTTCCTCTGATTTCCAACGGGAAATGCTATGCCAATTGTGGTGTAAAAGGATTCAGTTGATAAACTGAACTAAGTTAATTTGCTTTTTGATGAGTATATATGATAAATGTTTCCAAGTATTACTTATAACTTAAAATTGAAATATGTAAATATTTTTCCATCTTTGGCACCTGATTAAAAAAAAAAAAATCAAAGCTGAATGAGTCCTAATGGAAGATGAATTAACAATGTGCTGATTCTTGCAGCGGCCTTGTGCCTAAGGAAGCTTTCATTTGGAAAAAAGGTAATTCTAGAATTACTCTATACACTACAGTTACAATGTGCTGAAGGCCAGGTTCTCATTTGAGTTTGCTAATTGTAATCTGGATAAAGATGGGATAAAGTCCTGTGTAACCTGGTTTGACCCCATAACTGACTCGGTTTGAACAGGAGGCTGGACCAGAGACCTCCTGAGGTCCCTTCCAACTTGCATTATCCTGTGAACCAAGGAGTGATACAGGAGGTTATGTATGGGCTTTATTTGACCACTGAGCACAAGCAGTATTTCTGAGACAATAAAACCTTAAATTCTACAGACATGCCAAGTATTGGTCATGGACAGAAAAAAAACCAAACAACAACAAAAAAAAGAAAACCAGGAAAAACATCACCACCACCAAAATCAACCAAACAAAAAACCCACAAAAAACCCCCACAAAAACCAACTTCTGTAAGGAGCAAGTAAAGGGACTTGCCTGGAAGGAAACAGTGAAGGTAAGGAGGTTTGATAGCCTTCTACAGCCTAGCCTAGGGGTGTGAGGTGTGAACAGTAGGAAGTGAGCTGAGGCTGTACACAACTTTCTCAAAAAAATGATCGTCTTCTCTGCCATTAAATATACACTGACGGTCAATCCAACATGGGCTTAATTTGGGCTGTTCTTCATAAAATTACTTCGTATTAAATACAGCTAGAATCATAGTATTAACACTTGTGTACGTAAAGGAGAAGAATCCTTGTCTTAAATGCCTTTAAGGAACAGTTTTCCATACCTTCTTTCCTAAAGATGCAAAAACATTCCCTTGTGGACAGACTGTATCAGGAAAACTGACTTCTGTATTACAGGAAGACATAGGTCAGTGTTAACTCCACTGAATTGAGAAACAGACATCTTACCTGAATGATAAATATCTTTGGTTTTCCTACCAGACTCCGGCATTTGTCTCCTCTGAACATGTCTGTGATTGTCTCAATTTTGATTTGGGCATCATATGCAAAAACATGATCATTCTCA